TGCTGTTTGTGCACCCATTAGGTATATCCATCCTCTCTATTTGGCCTGTTTATAATTATCATCTAAAGTGAAAGTAAAATAAAATCCCAAATGTTGAGTTGTTCCCAGAACAGTAATAGAGGGGACATTTTCAAAGGAGGACACTGGTTCTAGTGACCTGCGGCCCCAAGGGATTCCTTTAATTTGCAGGGTTTTCTTTTCACTTCCTGTTTTGGCTATGGGACGGGAAGTGAAGGTAAATCTCCCCAATGGGACAAAAAAAACTTACAGGGGTTATAACACTGCCTAACTATATCCAAAATGAAAAAATAAATTTGCCTATAGCTCTACTTTAGAGCAAATAGACTGTGCACTTTGCGGGTTGCTCCAGAGCTTAGTAAATGAGGGAAAGCTTCACTTTACAAAGAATACCCAATCACATGCAAGGAAAAAAAAAACATTTTTACTTGTATATGATTGGATGTTGGAAGTCAGCAGAGCTACCCCTCATTTACTTAACTCTGGAGCAACTCCACTTACAAAGTGTGCCTTTAATAAATCCACCCCATTACATTTAGAAAATCCAGCCTATTACATGTAGTAAAATCTATCTATTTTCTCCTATCATTTTCGCCAGATTTTCAGAGACTTTGAGTATCTACCAGCATGTATGTTATTTGCGTAAAAAAGAAAACTCCCAATCACTCCAAACATAAGACAATGTGCTTACATATCACAATGGTCTAATCCCTTGTTAGAACATATATGTCATATATAGTAGGGATACTTTGCTTTTTCACAATTATTTTTAGAGATATCGTCCCACTGACATGTTTCCACTGACATCATTGATCTTTTTAGCTGTCTATAAGGGGACAATTCTTCTCAGTGACCACAAGTGTAAGGATCATTCTTCCCACTGACCATCACATTAATATATCATGAGTAATACATATAATAATTTTTAGCAGGGTTTTCCGGAGACTGGAAAGTTGTTTCAAGGGTTCCTCTGTTTTGCAAAGATTGAAAAAGTCTGGTTAAAAGTGCAACTAAAGGCAAAACTTTCTTTTCCATTTTGGACAGAATAATGGAGAGTTAGAACCCCTGTCAGTTTTTTTTTTTTGCTATCTGTGTCCCATTGGAAGATTTACCTTCACTTCCTGCCAAAACAGTTCAAGTGAAAAAAAAAATAAAAAAATAAAAGTCAGCAGCTACAAAAACTGTAGCTGTTGACTTTTAAAAAACGGGCACTTACCTGTCCCTCAATCCCATGGTGTCCCCACGCCATGCAGCCTGTTTCACCAGCCACCCTGTGTTCCCGGCGCCAGCATCTTCAGTGTGGGTACCCGGCTGTGGAGCCAGCTCACTGCGCATGCGCTAGTAATGCTGTGCTTTGTGAATGGTCCTGTAGGCTTCTGCCACTGTCCCAGAAAACTATAGGGAGGGAGGGGCAGGGGGGACAAATTCTACTTCTGATCGCCTAGGCGATCACAGCGGAAAGTGGCAGCGGGTACCTGTCCATTTCGGGTACCCGCTCCTCAAAGGTGCCAATCCTTAACGGGGAACGGGGGACCAGTCCTTAAAGCGGAACTTTCCCTATTGGGTGGAGCTCCGCTTTAAGTAAAAACAAGCATATTAAAAATGTCAAATGTACTGATGAAAATAGTATAAAAAAGCATACACATATATAAATACCCTTCTTCTACAACGTTGTCTTATTTAATGGTGGAAGAAGCGTATTTTATATGTGTGTGATATTCTCATTCAATATTTATGTATTTACTTAATTTAACATAGTTGTTTTTGATACACCGCGTGTGTCCTGTGAAAGCAGCTTCCCTTTCACTGGTATTTCAGTCAATTTTTTTCTTTTGTATTTATACATATGCTGCAGGGAGCGCACAAACTTAGCGAGTTGGCATATTTCTATGATCTAAACCATTTTACTTCTTTATTAGCAATAAAAACTGATAGGGGTTCTAATTTTTCATCTCTGTATCCATCCCACTGGATATCACATGAGTTAACTGTATGGTTTCATGAAATACTGCATATTTTGGAAAAATATTGCATGCAGTATTTTAGAAGCGTTTTTTTTTATGAATGACCAAAAACCTTCTGAAAAACACCAAGCGATACTTTACCGCATTTCTGCATGAATGGAACCCACTATTTTAAACATGCTTCTAACCAAAATTATATACTTGCATGTTTATACTGAATAGTATATACAGTCATGTGAAAAAGTATGTCCACCCCATGGATCTGTTGATGTTTTTACATATTTATACAGGCAAATATTGAATCTTGATTCAAATGCTGCCTACATATAAATGTGATATATTTGAACAAACACCACATAAACTCTAGGTATTAATTTTTATGATCCTAATAAACCAAAATGCAAATTTGTTATATTTAAAACGTAAGTATACCATTACATTTACTACCACTTCAAATCCATGAAATTAGAATCTGATGTTTCAGATTAGGTGCCAGAACCTCTTTCACATGGGCAGTCCGTTTGTTTGTTTTTCATCCATCCATTGAGGGATGATAAACGGACATACAGTAAATGTATGTCTATAGCAAAAACGGATGTAAACGGATGATCATCTGTTTACATCCACATCCGCCCAACATTTGTTTTTTGAAACAGATCAAAGCCATATTTTTGTTCTGTTAAAACACGAAAATGGAACGGATGTAAAATGGAGGTAAACGGGCAAGCGATCCGTTTTTGTATCTGTTTTTGCATAAGTAGTGGATGTAAAAAATGGATGTAAAGACTGATGAAAAACTGATATAATCTGTTTTTTCTTTGAAAAAATGTGATTGGACTGATGAAACAAACTGAACGCCCGTGTAAAAGGACTCTAAGGGAGTGTGCATTATTTAGGCTACATTCACATGGGGGATTAGTGCTGGTACGAATGCTGCGGATGCTAGCTGCGGCTGCTAGCTGCGGCTGCTGAGCACTATACACTTCAGTGACAGGTTGGCAATAGCCACAGCTATCCATGGTTGCCCACCTAGCCAGTGATTACCTGTGGGGATCACTGCTGGAAGCACACAAAGTTGTTTAAATGATTAGCTGCAGCTGCTGCCAACCTGTCATTGAAGTGTACAGGGCTCGGCAGCCACAGCTAGCTGCTCACAGGTGGCTGAAACAGCTGCAGGAATCAGCAGATTCCTGCTGATGTCATTTGCACCGGCCTTGGGTCCATGCGAATGTAGCCATGAACCTCGGACATCTAGGTCCTGGTGTTTTCTTTGGTATTGACAGAAAAATCACCAAAATTATTTGAAATCATTCATTCAGCTGTGAAAAAAAATGTACAAGTGGCCTAGATTTCAAACAACTACTAATTTGCCCAGGATGGCTGGCCCAGAAAATTCAACCTAGGTCATTTGATGTTAAAAGAACTCTCCAAACACCCCAAAAAAGAGGGCAATACCAGCTTCAATGCCAATGGTGTACTTACTTCTTCACAGTGCACCATTACATCTATTAATATTTTTGTTGAATAAATGATTCAAAAGGAAATTATTCTTTTTCAAGTATGTCAACTTTATCTGTAGGCATTATTGTATGAATAAAGATTTAATGTTTCCCTGTTCAAAAATTTGAAAAAGTTGACACTTTCCATGTGGTCACCTGAATTTTTCATATGATTGTATTTTAGCGATTTTCTTGATTCAAACTCTTCAGTCTAGCATTAGTGTTTTTAAGGACAAGTGCAGTGGATGATGCTTACCCTACTGGCTCATCCTCAGCCTAAAGTATGATTAATACACAGTAATCTTACTTCAACATTGGGTTACACACCCTGGCCAATGACACATTTCAGGATAAGCCAGAAGTGTAGGCTGGCCTGGGCAATGGTTTGTCCTAAAGATGTGAGCTGCATGACAGGGTGGCTGTCATCATTTGTTCTCTGATACCCAACTAGCTAAATGTAATTCCTTTAATTTTTAAATTTTAATAAAGTACATTTAATTTAATTAAATGTACAGGACCTAAAACACTTATTGGCATATATATATATATATATATATATATATATATATATATATATATATATATATATATATGTATATAGGGTGCTAGCGAGGCAATACTACACACAATAGTAAGTGTCAAGTGCATCCTATTTTGCTAATAGGCGGCGCACATGTCATGGACAAGTCCAGAGACCGTTAATCAAGATGGCAGACAACAGAGTTAGTGCATGCATGAAACAGTGTGTGGTGATGAAGTTTCTTGGCGGGAGGTGTAAAACCCGCTCAAATCCATAGAAGAGTTTAAGCACAGTACAGTGATGAGATGCCACAGTAAGACATTTGAATGGTGTAAACTTTTCAAAAATGGCCACACGTCCATCAGTGACGATCCCGGCCACGGTGGTTCCCAGCCCACAACAGTCATTCCTGTGAACATACAGTGCACTGAACGCCTGATCCTGGATAATAAACACCTAACCTGTCAAGAAGAGATAAATCTTTCTGTGGGAATAGTGAACACAATAATGACGAAGTGAAGCAGACTATCCTAGGATGGTTCAGGAGTACTGACAAATCTTTATATGCCGAAGATTTCCAGGCATTAGTTAAAAGCTGGGATAAGTGTATAAATGTAGCAGGGGAGTATGTTGAAAAACAAATGCAGTTTCTACTCCTTCAGGTTTGTTCTTTTATTATATAAACTCAAAAGACCTGGTTTGACTTGAATGCCCAGTATATACCGTATTTTTCGCTCCATAAGACGCACCTGACCATAAGACGCACCTAGGTTTTAGAGGCAGAAAACAGGAAAAAAAAATTCTGAACTAATGGACTGCAGACATAGTACAGGAGATGACCAGAAACTGCGGACACAGTACAGGAGATGACCAGAGACTGCGGACATAGTACAGGAGATGACCAGTGACTGCAGACACAGTACAGGGGATGACCAGAGACTGCGGACACAGTACAGGGGATGACCAGAGACTGCGGACACAGTACAGGGGATGACCAGAGACTGCGGACACAGTACAGGAGATGACCAGAGACTGCGGACACAGTACAGGAGATGACCAGAGACTGCGGACACAGTACAGGAGATGACCAGAGACTGCGGACACAGTACAGGGGATGACCAGAGACTGCGGACACAGTACAGGGGATGACCAGAGACTGCGGACATAGTACAGGAGATGTCCAGAGACTGCGGACACAGTGCAGGGGATGACCAGAGACTGCGGACACAGTACAGGGATGGAGATGACCAGAGAGGGATGCGGACAGACAGTACAGGGATGACCAGAGACTGCGGACACAGTACAGGGATGACCAGAGACTGCAGACAGCACAGGGATGACCAGAGACTGCGGACACAGTACAGGGGATGACCAGAGACTGCAGACACAGCAGGGATGACCAGAGACTGCAGACAGCACAGGGTGACAGAGACTGCGGACACAGTACAGGGATGACCAGAGACTGCGGACACAGTACAGGGGATGACCAGAGACTGCAGACACAGTACAGGGATGACCAGAGACTGCAGACACAGTACAGGGATGACCAGAGACTGCAGACACAGTACAGGGATGACCAGAGACTGCGGACAGCAGGGATGACAGGGATGCGGACCAGGGAGACCAGAGACTGCGGACAGCACAGGGATGACCAGAGACTGCGGACAGCACAGGGATGACCAGAGACTGTGGATAGTACAGGGGATGACTGCTGACCTTTGGGGAGGGGGGGGAGCGGGTACCTGAATTTGACAGATACCCGCTCCCACTTCCGCGGAGTTGTTCTTTCATCTTACCTGTTCCTCTATCCAGCCGCGCGCTGTCTTCCCGGCTTCTGTAATGGCGCTCGGCATGACAGCCGGGTGCCCAGTGCGCATGAGCGAGAAGCACTTGCGCTTTGTTATTGGTCCGGCGGCTTCTGGGATCTGTCATGTGTCCCAGGTGCCGCCTTACCTTTCACAAAAAACACTGCTTCCTGCGCATGCGCACTTGGCACCCGGCTGTCATGCCCCACACTACAGAAGCCGGGAAGACCGCGCCGCTGGATAGAGGAACGGGTAAGATGAAAGAACAACTCCACGGAAGTGGGAGCGGGTACCTGTCAAATTCAGGTACCCGCTCCCCCCCCCCCTCCCCAAAGGTCAGCAGTCATCTCTATAAGGTCCCGCTGTAGAGCTGAGCGGCCGGCCCGGTATTCTGACACGGCGGCGGTGGAAATACGGGACCGGCCGCTCCATATTCGCTCCATAAGACGCACTGACATTTTCCCCCCTTTTTTGGGGGGAAAAAAGTGCGTCTTATGGTGCGAAAAATACGGTATATATATACTGCTCAAACAAATTAAAGGAACACTTTTTAATCAGAGTATAGCATCAAGTCAATTAAACTCTTGGGATATTGATCTAGTCAGGTAAGTAGCAGAGGGGGTTGTTAATCATTTTCAGCTGCTTTGATGTTAATGAAATTAACAACAGGTGCACTAGATGAGCAACAATGAGAAGACCCCCAAAACAGGCATGGTTTTACAGGTGGAGGCCACTGGCATTTTTTTTCCTACTCATCTTTTTGACTGTTTTTCACTAGTTTTGCATTTGGCTAGGGTCAGTGTCACTAATGGTAGCATAAGGTGATACCTGGACCCTACAGAGGTTGCACGGGCAGTCCAACTCCTCCAGGATGGCACATCAATACGTGCCATTGCCAGAAGGTTTGCTATGTCTCCCAGCACAGTCTCAATAGCATGGAGTAGATTCCAGAAAACAGGCAGTTACTCTAAGAGAGCTGGTTAGGGCCATAGAAGGTCCTTAACCCATCAGCAGGACCAGTATCTTTTCCTTTGTGCAAGGAGGAACAGGATGAGCACTGCCAGAGCCCTACAAAAGTACCTCCAACAGGCCACTGGTGTGAATGTCTTTGACCAATCAATCAGAAACTGACTTCATGAGGGTGGCCTGAGGGCCCAACGTTCTCTAGTGGGCCCTGTGCTCACTACCTGGCACCATAGAGCTCGATTGACATTTCCCATTGAACACCAGAATTGGCAGGTCTGCCACTGGCGCCCTGTGCTTTTCACAGATGAGAGCAGGTTCACCCTGAGCACATGTGACAGACGTGAAAGGGTCTGGAGAAGTCGTGGAGAACATTATTCTGCCTGTAACATCATTCATCATGACCGTTTTGGTGGTGGGTCAGAGATGGATTGGGGAGGCAGGTCCATGGAGGGACGCACAGACCTCTACAGGCTAGACAATGGCACCTTGAATGCCATTAGGTATCGGAATGAAGTCCTTGGACCCATTGTCAGACCCTATGCTGGTGCAGTGGGTCCTGGGTTCCTCCTGGTGTACGACAATGCCTGGCCTCATGTGGCAAGAGTATGCAGGCAGTTCCTGGAGGATGAAGGAATTGATACCATTGAATGGCCCCCACGCTCGGCTGACCTAAATCTAATAGAACACCTCTGGGACATCATGTTTCAGTCCAACCGACGCCGCCAGGTTGCACCTCAGACTGTCCAGGAGCTCAGTGATGCCATGGTTCAGATCTGGGAGGAAATACCCCAGGACACCATCCGTCGTCTCTTTAGGAGCATGCCCCGATGTCAGGCATGCATACAAGCACATGGGGGCCATACAAACTACTGAGTACCATTTTGAGTTGCTGCAATGAAATTTCAGCAAAATGGACTAGCCTGCGGCATAATTTTTACACTTTTATTTTCGGGTTGTCTTTGAATTCAGTCCTCTTTAGGTTGATAATCTTCATGGGACATGCTTATGTTCCTAACACAATACCCAAGTCCATATCAGTATAGATATCCAGCATGATATTTTTCCCCAGTGAGATTTGATGTGTTTTCAAAGTGTTCCTTTAATTTTTTTGAGCAGTGTATATATACACAGACACACACAATGTCTGCCACTGTAGTGATGCGGTAGATGACAGATGACAATGGAAGGGACCCTAAGAGCCTGAGAGATCAGATAGACTGATTGGAGACAAGGTGGGTCTTTCCACACAAATGGAAAAGTTTCCGAACAGTCAGGACTCCTGGTTGTGGGCACATGGAGAGCATGTGTCCAGGTCTGGAGATGGAGAAGGACCAAAGGTAGCCCCGATCTGAAAGACATGCGTGTTTAAAGATGGCCATTCACATATACATTTCTTTTGTTCAGTCTAGACAGATGAATCATCCTTGCTATTGTATTGTGAAAACCCGAACAGGGCCTGCATCTGATTGGATGCTTGAGCTGGTCTAAGATAGTTTTCTCACTGGCTCCAAATGCAGACTGAACACATTTGAATGGAACAGTGCTGGCAGCTTCAAGTAGTGTATGGTCAGCTTACAATAAGCAAGCTGCAGTCTTTGTGTAAGCAGACTAGTGGTCCAGTTTATGAAACAAAAAGTAGAGGGCACAGATACCTTATATACTTGTGTATATATATATATATATATATATATATATATATATATATATATATATATATAAACCTTACCTTCTATTTTAAGAGAGTACAACTGGGTTTCACACTGATAAAATTAGAGGATTTTGGCTCCTTCTAACCAACCTGTACAGTTGTGTTGGTCCAAAAGCTCTACTCCATAGAAGGCATGGTTTCCATACTCTACACTGATGATGCTCAACTAGCCGGAAACATCTACATATATGCAGGGACGGACTGACAACTCATGGGACCCCCGAGCAATAGGGGATCATGGGGCCTCTATGTCCTTGCCCACACCCAAAAAAGCCTATGAAAAAGCCAATGAAAGGTACCAGGGGCCCCCTACTGACCCCAGGCCCTCGGGCAGTGCCCGAGTGCTCCAATGGTCAGTCCACCCCTGCATATATGCAGTTTGGAATAAATTACTCTATAATATTAGGTTGAATCTGTAGCATTAACCAGCAGTTCTGTATGTACAGTACATTTGGAACCAGTTCCATAAAAGAATCCTCTGCATGCCCTGCCATATCCTAAAAAGAACAATATATCCTTTATCTGTGATGGAATGGAGACATGAATATACGTTCTGCTTTTAAAGGATCCACTGTGTGTTGTTGTCAACAAGAACACAGAATCTCTGGTTCCTTGACATGTGTTCCTACTGGATTCTAAACTGGATCAACTAGCTCAAGAATTCTACAACAATTTGTGAACCCCATCCTATAAACATACACTGTGAGACAATTTTGATAACATTGCATTGGATAGTAAGAAAAAGAAGATGCTTTAGTAGCTACAAATACTTTTTAGCAGTACAATACAAAAGAGTTTTATACTCATAATTGTGTTTGCTTCTAAACGTTCTGCACTGGAACTTACTCAAATAAGATTTGAGCAGATCAGCGTGGCCTTGTACATGCAACAATGTTCCTAATTAACCCCCTAGTGAATTTTTCAGATTGCTTATAGTTTATTTTTCTGCAATTCTCTACAAAATGAGTATAATTTTGTATAAAATTAAGTTTACAGGAAATAATAAAGTTTAATTAAGTAATAAGGGTGGGGGCATTGAAAACAGACAATAGTCTGGTGTTGCCAATAGGTGCATCCTCATAGTCACCCATAAATGCAGGAGCCATTACTACCGAGCATTACCAAAAACGAACTCTGCGTGTATACAAGTGTATATAAAGAGGACAAACAGAAGCAGTGAAGCATGAATAAAAAACAGTTGCATGCATCTTTTTTCCAATTAATTAAATTAGGCTTTGTGTCCTGGGATCACAAGTCTAGTCGTCTTTTCATGCACAGCCACGAAAGACTGTCTACAGCATTGCAAGGGGTGTATGAGAGGTCACTATTGGAGCTATATCCTGCTGTATAACGACTGAGACAAGTTCTGCATGGTCTTCCTCCTGCATTATGCAGCCAACAAGGTTTAACGAGGAGTAAGAAGAATTTGTCTGCATATTTGCTGGGGTACATGCTGGTTAAATGTATACTAAACTGTACTCCTCTGCAAGGCTAACACATTAGACATAATAAATTTGCACCTAGCCCGACACCGTTTAGCTTCCAACATCATGACTTCTGTTGAGCAAGGCTTTAGTCGTGAAGACCAACCTGGTCAATCAATAAGTGATAGTAAAATAAATAGCCAATTACCTTCTTCATCCCAGAATTAGATCTGATGTGCTATAATGCATTTAGATGCGCCGTAATGCCTTGCATTATTTATTTTAATGTTTCCATAGATTCTAACAGGTTAAATGTAATTTCCTGTGACAATTTATTCATTTCTTTCCTTTAAAAGTGATAAAAAACTGTTGTTGTTTTAATTCTGTACCATCCTTTTAGAATAACAAAGTATTCTTCCTTATAACAATGTGTATTCGAATGCATATAAAAGAATACACTATAAAATGTTCAATTACATTGTCTCTGTTCTGTAAAAATAAGTAAAGCACAGCCATATATTGTAACAATAGGACGATGAGTTGTCATCATGTGTAAAAATAACTGTACACATGCTTCTCTACTAATGTTCTACGAATGTGAACTTCAACAATAGGATCAAGCTTGAAACAATCCTGTGGAGTGGTATAATGATGTTAAGCTGGCTGCTGGTCTGTATG